TACGCGAAAAGTGGCATGCAACGTATGTCAACTATGACTCCAGATTGTAATTCACGCGAGCGATCAGTGAACATGACCGTGACGTCACGCGCGCTGACACACGTGCTATTGAAAAACGACCACCTCTAGTAACACTAACACGGCCAGCCGGTAAGTTTTGCTGGGGGTGTTTTTGTCGGACTTCGCACTACAGTACGATTACCCCGGCAAAATCCGGTACGGCAGCCAAAAGCCCATTTCGGTCGGTTCCTAGTAGTGCATAGGCTAGATTAGAAGTTCAGAATCGGGAAGTTAAACACGTACCTAAGGCCACGCCGATTTCTACCTATTTAACACTAAAATCACAGAAGCAAAATTAAGAAAATTTGTATGTTAAAAATGAGCAAGTCAACGTGATCCTTTTTTAATAGGGGGTGCATCATAAAAATAAACTTGCTCGGATTTTAAAAATTTTTGTACCATTGTTTTCTAGAGACTGTGAGAATTTTCACAATACAAAATTTGTCATACCTTTTTGGAAAGATTAGTGAGTTTCGCCTAAGTGCCATATTTGATGGTGCGCGGCTTTTGGAGCAAAATTAGCTGTAAAAGTCGCGTAATTTGACCAAATTTGACCAAATTCGTTGATTTTTGTCGTATTATTTGGATATATCTTCAGTTCCTTGAATGAGATCATTCTGAAAATTGGCGACGACCTTCCAATAGGGCTTTCACAACTGTCCGAAAAATTTAGTGGACATCGGAGTTGATATAGTGATCAAAATGGGGCGAAATACGCTGCTTTTAGCTGTAACATAATGTCTGATGGTTCGATATGCTTTAAACTTTTCGGACACTTTCCTTGTAAGTCTATGAGTAAGCTTACCAATTTTTGTTGCAATCAGAGGTCGGGAAGGATACTTAATATCTATTTGTTTGAAGAAATTGTGCTGGCCGAAATTAGCGCTAAAAAACCATCCTACAGTCGGCACGCGCGGCTCACTGTTGATGGCGCACTACCTATTTTTAAATAGTCACATCGCGAGAAAACATTCCGGCGCAATTCAATTGCTGCAGAATGCTGCGTTACTGGGCCGGCCGCGCTCAGCCTGTTATACTCATTCCGCAGAATCTCTATCACTATGATCATTATGAACATAAATATAATACTAATAGCATGAGGTCCCCAGGTAAAATGCTGCGGTGCGACTGACTGAATATGTAATTATAAGTAAATAAACACATGTTACATGTATCGTGTGGCGTGGCCAATTAATTGTTTATGGAAATAATATTAATAAATATACTTTGCTTTCCAGCACTTATGTATGTGATCGTTTATCCAGAAAAAGATGCAGTTTTTCTATATAATTACATTCTTATATTATTGAGTTAGTTGAAGGCTACAATTATATTTGTATATTGCAGGAATTTCCTGCAGACTGATAATCTAGTTTGTCCAATGACAAATTCAAACTGCTCTCTACTAGGGGGTGCACGGTAAAAATAAACTTGCTCGGATTTTCAAAATTTTTGTACCATTGTTTTCTAGAGACTGTGAGAATTTTCACAGAACCAAATTTGTTATACCTTTTTGGAATGATCAGTGAGTTTCGCCTAGGTGCCAAATTCGATAGTGCGCGGCTTTTGGAGCAAAATTAGGTGTAAAAGTCGCGTAATTTGACGAAATTCGTTGATTTTTGTCGTATTATTCTATCATATCTTCAGTTCCTGAACATGAATCATGCTGATAATTTGTCAGAACCTTCCAATCATACTTAACTACCGAACCTAATTTAGTTGGGAGAGATTGGCCTTGATTAAGTTGTCTAAAAATGACAAAATAGGTATAAATCCGTTGATAACTCAAATTCTGACCATCGAAATTGCTCAAACTAAATTAGGTTCAGTAAAACATAAATGTTTACATACGCTGACCAAATTTCAACCAAATTGTTATATGGGAAGTATTATAACTTTTTGAATGTTTCCAAAATAATGTGCTGGCCGAAATAAGAGCTAAAAAATCATTCAATGGTCAGCGCAGCGCGCCCGTCTTACAGTCGATGGCGCACTGCCTATCTCTACTTTATTAAATCAACGTACTACAATTCCAACTGCTGATGATTCTTTGAAAGAAATTTCTAATAAAACAGTATGAGTAAACTCAGTGCCAACAATTTAAAATGAAATTACAAATATTGCGTTACGACATTTGATTGTCCCGAGAAACCGGTTGGGCATTTTAAGGCAAAATAAAATTAAATTAAAATTAAGAAGCTGTTAATAAAAAACGGTTTTACATAAACCCTTGCCCCAATCCAAACCATAACTACAAAGCCGAAGAAACAGAGATAACCATTATAACCCTCACCCTAAACATAACCCTAAACATTTGGCTTGTGCCTTAACGGGTGATACTCGTATAATATCTGATCCATATATTAGTCCAACTCGGCGCGCGTCCTGGTAGGTTGTAAACCTACAACTTGTGCCCTGTCTCGCTTAATTGGAAATAACCAGTGATTAAGTGCGCCTGCATGCTAAAATTAAAAAGGTATAAATGTGCCCTGAATCGGGAACTATTGTGCTTTGATACTCAAACCTGCATGACAAAAAGGCAACAAATGTGTCTCACACGTGCAATCGCGCTCAAGGGGTTTGGTAGGAAATGCCAATTGCATAGCATTTCTGATAATAACTTGTCTACTCTTGTTGATGTTCCAACGTTCTGCTTGTTGATAATGATTTGATCTATGTCTACTGCTACGGCAGCCAAAAGCCCATTCCGGTCGGTTCCTAGGCTAGATTAAACTTCAAAATCGGGAAGTTAAACAGGTAACTACGGCCACGCCGATTTCTACATAATATCACTAAAAATAAAATCACAGATCCTTTTTTAAATAGTCACATCGCGAGAAAACATTCCGGCGCAATCCAATTGCTGCGGTGCGACTGACAGAATATGTTAATACAATTATAAGTAGATAAACACATTACAGATCAGATCATGGCCAATGAATGAAATTGGAAGTATACTATTACGTTGCTTTCCAGCGCGTATGTATGTGATTTTTGAACCTGAAAAAGATGTGTAAGTCAGCCTGATACTTTTTTTAAATAGTCACATCGCGAGAAAACATCCCAGTGCAACTCAATTGTTGCAGAATGCTGTAGTTTGCAGCGCGACTAACATACAAATTATATTATTATAAATTCGTCCGAGTTTTCAATTTTTGAGTGATGGGCCGGGTTGTGAATTGTCAAATAATCTGATAGTTGTAGGGTAATATGCGGTAAATCGGGGTTTAACTATAATATTAATAATCTTATTAATATTACTTATACCTTACTCGGGAATATTATAGCGGGTTAATTTATGACCGGGAAAAATATGGCGGACTTTCCCAAAACCCGCCAAATTATCCCGGTCATGTATTTACCGGTGGCCGACCTTTCAAGTTTTTTTTTCAGAGGTCAACAAATTTTCAACCGAAATTTCTGTTTCTGTTACTTGTTAAAGAAGTTATTTCAATTTACAGTTATATTATTATTGATATTACAGTTATTGATATTACTCTCTACGATTCACTGATTCATGGGCAAGAGAAGTGAGAATCACGGTCCACCCTGAAATCTGATTTCTATAACCAAATTGTGATTTTTATAAACGAAATTATGGTAGCAACCGCCAATAAGTTACAGCCCTCCATCCACTGCTTCAAAAGTCTTCTCTAGCACATATGAGACTTCAGGTAAAATATGATGATCACCACCCCCTTGGAACCCCATAATCTGAGTCGGCGGGTTTTTTTATGACTGGTAAAATTTTTGACCGGGAAAAATATGGCGGAATCTTCCAAAACCCACCACTTTATCCCGGTTATAATATTCCCGAGTAAGGTAGTTATTGGCAATTTGATTAAACTTATCCGACCTCCCGGCCCTTTTGACTAGCGAGTTCTTACTGTTAGTATATAATATAGGAAACATCTGAAAATGTCCTATCGGTAGGACATTTTCATAATTTTCTTTCCATCAAAGTTTTCTCCGGATATACACAATACAGCTTCCAGGACCCTCCAAATTCATGGAAAACTAGTTACTGGATACCGGAGAAAAACTAAAGAAGTGAAACTCTGCAAATTGGTTAGCAAATAAATGATAAAAGATTTGAACAATGTGAATAATCGAAGCGTCAAATATGCAGCTTAAACAGCTTCTTACTATTTCGAATCGAGAGAGAGGTAATAACGGTTATACAATATTATCAACTGGCGTCAAACAGCAAACACAACTAAAATTCTTAACAAAATAAATAATACAAAATAATATAAATCGTACCGGATTTATCTACAAAATGCTGAAATTAAAAAATATATAGTGTGGGAATTAACTAGAAGAAAAGAAGACCTTTAATAACAAAAGTTCTAAATTAAATAACCACGTCCCTGTCATATATAAACCTCGACCCAAAATAGATCAAAATCAACGTTATCAGTTATTGTAGAAATTCACATAAAACAAACAATTCAAATATCTTGTTACTACAATAACACATAATTTGATCCAGCCTTCTTTTCTTCTAATTGTATACTCATTAACAAGCATCAAATCAATAGGTCAAGTCTTTGTCAAGGTTCAAAACATTCCTCCACATTTTCATATGTTTTATCCAATAGTTAAATAACATGCTTTCCGTCAATCAACTTTATTAACTCTTCAAATACAATACAATAGTAAAAATAATGGTTTTTCTTCTCGAAGACGAAATGACTTTTATCATGGCGAACATTCAAACTATTAAGAAACTGTGACACTGTTGGTGGTATGGGTTTGTTCAGGTTTCAATAAACCAAACTGCTCTCACAAGTAATTCCACTGTTTAACTTTAGCTCAGTTTCGGTTATGTGTTCAGGTTCGGTTGCACGGTTCCAAACATGTCGCACATAATTAACTGAAGCCGAGTAAGCGAACCGATCCTGCGCTAAAGTTGAACAGTATTACGGAAGTATTCCCAACTATTTGAAGTTCTCGTAATTATCAAAGCTGTCCACATACTGCACCAGTGCTCTGTAGATGTAGTCGTACTGATCTACACTTTGAACCATGAAAGGTCGGGAGCGACGCAGCTGCAGGGCGGTCTGGAAAATGTCCACAGTTCCTTCTAACTTTAGCTGTGGGAGGCGAGGATTTAGTAAAAGTTACATCCTAAATTGAAGGGCACACACTTTATCAGACCGTCTTTATATTCATTAAATTCTGTCCCAAAGCTCAGTATTTAAAAGAAACCAACTAACAACTTGCAGAGAATATTCTATATAAGTAGTATATATACAACATAGTGTGAACTGTGATTAGAGATATTCTTAATGACAATATCTACCTGTTCGAGACAGTTAGCAATAGCAATGAAAGCAGCAGCTCTCCCAACCCCACCACCGCAGTGCACGACAGCCGGCTTGTTGCCCTGTTGTTTCTGCCACCGAGCCATGTTCTCTATTGCCCCTATCATGGCCAGTCCTCCCAACTTCATGCTCTTTTCTGTGAGGGTCGTGAAGTGCCATAATCTGAGGAGTGAGAAACTAATCATAGCTGAGCTGTATCTGCTTATTCGTGACAAGAGTCAAGATAAGAGTACTCTTATCACTATATCAGATCAGAAAAGGGGCAAAATAAGCATTAAAATCAAAGTGTAGAGAGCCCTCTTATTTTGAATTTAATCGGCATTATTAAAAGGTTAACAAAAAGATGTAACGAGGTTAAAAAGGTTAACAAGAAAATCTGCCCGCCTGGCGCCTACCTGACAAGTCGGAGAGCCTTGTAGCCGTCTGAGGAGTGGGTTACACACAACTCCCTCCTCGTTATATCAGGACCTTCATCCACTGCCAGTAACTTTATCTTGCAGGATCCGTACTCAACTTCTTCCTGCTCTTGTAGCGGCCAGTATTGGGCACACTTTATCTTACCTTCCTCTGGGGTGATGGTCGTGTTACAGGGGGGGGGGGGGGGGGAGTATTGGGCACACTTTTTATCTTACCTTCTTCTGGGGTGATGGTCGTGTTACAGGGGGGGGGGGGGGGAGTATTGGCACACTTTATCTTACCTTCCTCTGGGGTGATGGTCGTGTTACAGGGGGGGGGGGAGTATTGGGCACACTTTATCTTACCTTCCTCTGGGGTGATGGTCGTGTTACAGGGGGGGGGGGGGGGGAGTATTGGGCACACTTTATCTTACCTTCCTCTGGGGTGATGGTCGTGTTACAGGGGGGGGGGGGGGAAACTGTACAGGGGGGGGGGGGGGGAGTATTGGGCACACTTTATCTTACCTTTCCTCTGGGGTGATGGTCGTGTTACAGGGGGGGGGGGGGGAGTATTGGGCACCACCTGTACAGGGGGGGGGGGGAGTATTGGGCACACTTTATCTTACCTTCCTCTGGGGTGATGGTCGTGTTACAGGGGGGGGGGGAGTATTGGGCACCACTTTATCTTACCTCTTCTGGGGTGATGGTCGTGTTACAGGGTGGGGGGTGGTGTACACTGTACAGGAGGGGGGGAGTATTGGGCACACTTTATCTTACCTTCTTCAGGGGTGATGGTCGTGTTACAGGGGGGGGGGGGGGAGTATTGGGCACACTTTTATCTTACCTTCCTCTGGGGTGCTGGTCGTGTTACAGGGGGGGGGGGGGGGGAAGTATTGGGCACACTTTATCTTACCTTCCTCTGGGGTGATGGTCGTGTTACAGGGTGGGGGGTGGTGTACACTGTACAGGGGGGGGGAGTATTGGGCACACTTATCTTACCTTCCTCTGGGGTGATGGTCGTGTTACAGGGGGGGGGGGGAAGTATTGGGCACACTTTATCTTACCTTCCTCTGGGGTGATGGTCGTGTTACAGGGGGGGGGGGGTGTACAGGGGGGCCGGGGGGGGGGGGGGGGGGGGGGAATATTGGGCCACACTTTATCTACCTTCTTCTGGGGGTGATGGTCGTGATACAGGGGGGGGGGGGGGGTGTACAGGGGGGGCCGGGGGGCAGTATTGGGCACACTTTATCTTACCTTCTTCTGGGGTCGTTGGTCGTGTTACAGGGAGGGGGGGGTTGTACAGGGGGGCCGGGGGGCAGTATTGGGAACACTTTATCTAACTACTTCTGGGGCGATGGTCGTGTTACAGGGGGGGGGGGGGGGGGGTGGGTGTTTTTACGCATTATGATTTATAAACAAAATAGGAGAAAGAGAAATGAGGAAACTTCAAGTCGCACTTTTTGGTATTATTTTGACACTTCAAATAAAGTGAATTTAGCCACAAAGAAACTTTTTTATGAACAGATTAATGTAACATACCGACAACAATAGTCATACAGACGATATAGAACAGGCTCCTGTCTCGTATTATCATCTTCCAGAAGTCGACAACGGTTCCCGTCTTAGGAGCCTGGGTCGAGATGTACCACGTTCTTCTCGTGGTAGGAGGAAATGTAGCCTGGCGTTTATGTAGTCACTTCCGGGGTACGCCCGTCGGGGGAGGTGGTGTAGTTAGAGGGGAGGTGTGGTTTATTATCATACTTTATTATGAATGACTTCCTATCATACTTAGTATAGGGGTCGTTCACAATTCACATATTACGTAATCAGCCGAGGGGGGGGGGGGGGGGGGTTCCAAATGATTACGCTAGTGTAATTTTGACACAATAGCTATGCGTATTAAAACTGATTACGGAGGGGGGGGGGGGGGAGTAAAAAATCGTCCAAGTGATTACGTAATATGTGAATGACGGTCACTTAGTTGTAAGTGAAACGATTTATTTTGACGTATTGACGGCCACGTTCCAGTCATTTTGTAGTGAACGTTAGTGAACGTCAGTGATTATCAAAAACAAAAATTCATGAAAATAAACTTTTTGAAATCTCATTTCTCCAACTGATAATTATTAATTTGTATTGTATTGTATTGTAGTAGATTTATGCTACTGAAGGTAGAAGTACTCTGTCGAACCAAAGCGCGCTAACCTCGACTCAAGTTCGACACGTACTAAAGTTTGACAAGATAACTTTGACTGTCGAACGAGAGTTTTGAAATCTCAAGCAACGATCCTTTACGAGCTTGTAATCTATTCGTTTGTTTGTTTTCCACTAGTCTCATGATGTTCAATTATGTGTGAATGTAATCTCTATACTCCATATCTATGAATATTTAATAGTCCTCATACTCATAATTCAATTGTTATCTAGCAGAATTGTAGACTTAGTGGAGAGATAAAAGACTAACTTAATAACTCGTACTCCATTTTATAGATCTACAGGGTGTGTTGAAAATAGTGTGGGAATGTAAAAATCGATAATTTTTTTTTATGAAAGGAGCAAATTTTTGTAAAGTACGCTTTATAAATATCTACCACATACCACACTTTATATTATCCCACAACGACTAGTAACGAGTACCGGTCTAGAGATTTGGCTGCTGATCGAAATCAGTCGGATACTCGATCTATTTTCCTGTTAGCTAGACCGGAACTGAGTGGTAAACAGGAGAATTAAAATTTACTGAAAGGTTCTTGAATTTCTAACCGCTCATGGTTGCTAACTGTCAGAAAATATTTGTATCTGCCATTGAACCCTGTGATCCTATGATGACGATCCAGCAATAGCCATTGGATCACAAGCAGAAACTATTTGTCGAACTAGAGTACGCTACCTGGACTCTAGTTCGACACGTACCGAAGTACGACAGGGGTGATATCTGGCAAATTTTATTTTGTCGAACTATAGTGCGTGTCGAACTAGAGTACGTGAATCCTACTGAACACTACTAGTTCAGAAGGTGAGATGAGTTTTAGTGAACGTATGTACAGAACATTTTTAGCGAACGTTCCGTACGTGCACTACAACTCAATGACATGACCCCTTAGGACATCCAACTCATAAAAAGACAAATGAGAAAAACCATCGCTTAGACAAAATACAGTCCATCTGATCTGAGATGGTCTGTAGTTTTTCTGAGCGAAACAATTTGTATTTTAATTTACCTGATAAGCAAGTTTGACTCGGTTCTTCTCGTAAGGCAGGATGTTGTGATATCTGTTTTTATTGTGATTATACTCTTTTGTAGCTTCTATAAACTTGCCATTGGAGTCCTCTTTAGCAATGTAAACCAGTCTCTGGTATTCTACCTGAATACCAGTTTTATCTGTGCCTGACACGGTCTTCCTCAAATCTCTGAGAATATCAGGGTGTTACAAATCAAATCATGTAGTACAGACAGATCCGTCTGAAAAATCGATATACCGACACAAGAAGCTTTCTAAGGATTTTTGTAGTTTTTGAGTCCCATTAGGTGCCCTTAATGGCTGGCCAACTTTTCTAAACTTTTCCACGTGTCTTAATGTTACTTTTTGCCAATTTTACCACTTTTTACCACCTATCTTGTTTGTCGAATACCTCTAGTTGTGAACATCGTAGAAGGTTGCGGATTAATCGAGGGTGTTCATCTTATCAGAGAGAAAAACTTTTGTAAAGACAAATTTTATCTTTGTTTAACAAATCATTTTTTATTGGCTCAAAATGATCGAAATAGCTTAATTTTTCACTTAAATTTTGAAAAACTCAAATTGCACGAAACGTGGAGAAAAATATTTTTTCAAACAAAATCTGTAAATTTTTCGTTTTGCAAGAATAATAAAATCACCAATATTTGTAGTTGGAGTCAACATCCTTAGTAACAATCCTTTCTAATTTGTCCCTCTATAAGCAATTTCCCTCTACTAAGCAATTTCCAAGAAATCCTGTATATAAACAGGATTTCTTGGAAATTTTTAGGAGTATATTATGTTCGATATTATTATAAATTTTAGGTATGTGACTAACACTGCCGGGGTGAAACTTCCTGGGATTAAACTATCGTAATCACGTTACTATTCACTTTGCATTTCTTCTGCCGCTACTGTATTAAAAAATTAAGTTATAACAAAGTCTAACTACACCCAGTCACAGATTATAATCAGATTATAATCTAGATTTTTCGTTCCACTTGCTCCGCGGAAGGAGTATTGAGAAGCCAGGAGTGTTCCGCAGAAGCAATATTAAGAGGTGCAACGATCTCAAAGGAACTTTTGATCGAATTCCATAACAAAAGGTCTATGTGATTTGCCTTGAGGTATGTGATTTGCCTTAAGTCACAGCAAAGGTATGTGTTTATTACCTGTGTCCTGTACAATTAGGCTACCTGATCTGCAGTCTGCCGGAGTGTTCAGGCATTGGCACTCAGAATGATGTCTGGTGCCATGCCAAGCACACCCTTTATCGCATTGAATCACCTCACGGACACTTCAGATATCAAATCGTTGTTTGAATGTGGAAAAATTTTGAAAAACTCAACTAGGATGATTGGATTAGGAAGCTTCACACACAATATCCTTTTGGGTGCAATGATAGAATAGACAGTTTGGAAAACAAAGGTTATTACAATTGTGAATTTGCTAAGTTTACTTCCGTGAAGAGCAGGAGAAGGAGGTCTTGGAGTAGTGGGTCTGGCAGTATCGATGTTTTAAATATCGTAAATAGTTTACTATTGATTGTTAATGAACCTTTTCATACATCATGTATTACTAAAACTAAACGTATTTTATTCCCTTTGAAACGTGATAAACTGAATAAAGTTAGAGAATTATATTTAGATAATGTTTTTAATGATAATGTTTTGAAGCATGATATTCTACGCAGACATGCCCATTTTGTGATTACAGATCTTTTAATGTATAAAATTAAGCCGTTTAATGTATGGAAATGCCCTAAAGTTTCTAAAAAGAAACAGAAATTCATGTTTAAAGTTAAATTTGTTAATAAGGCTATTGATATGATAAATTTACCCAGAATTTTCAGGGATAAATCTTTAAAGTCCTATATTAGCCAATGTAATATTAATGAACCTTCAGTTGTATTCACTAACACGCCTAAAATATCTAGTAAATTATTTAATTATAATGATACGGTTAACAATTTTAAGTGTATTGAAGATTATGATTGTATATGTAATAAGCATGAGGAATATATTAACGGCGATTGTAATCATGTCGCTACAGGGGATGTTTTTATTATTAGTAATCAAATGCTAAGGAATATTATTTCTAAAGGGCCTAGTTTCAAGGAACCCGCAGTTCTAGATTTTAATTTTGCTCAACGTACTATTTTAGAGAATTTAGATAAGTTTGTTAAGAGTTGGAGTGAAAAGGAGAAAGTAGCTTTAGTCTGCTTTAATGGGTGGAAGGAGAAATTCCGAGAATTACTAACTGATGCCGTTGATTGTTTAAAAAAGCGATATATAAACGTAGTAGCAGTGATGTGGTTTCGGTCTTTTCTGACCCATTTGTTGAAGCGGAGCTGGAATATTTTCATAAATATTTTGTTATTTGTCCCGAGGACAAGGCATCGAAAAATGTCGCTATAATTTGTAAACGTTTTTATTTAGATACCATTTTGAATGAATGTATGACTAATTTTATTTCATATTCTCATATCACGGAATCCAATACCCAGGAGATTTGTAAGATACAGAAAACTTTTATGAAGGATGTGTTAAATATTGATGATACGAATAAGGACGATGTTTTACCCCATATAGTACTCTTCCCTAAATTCCATAAACCCAAGTTTTCTCAGCGGTTTGTAGTGTCTTACGCTTGCTGTACAGTTAAACCAATTGCACAGCGCCTTACTCTTGGACTTAAAGCTGTCTACAGTCAAATTTGTAGTTATTCACGCATGCTGTTTAAAGTGACTGGGATTAAGCGTAATTGGATTATCGACAATAATGCGCCTATTTTAGATTGTTTTAATAGCTATATGGAGTCTGATAGGGCTCGTAATGTCCAAACCTATGACTTTTCGACTTTGTACACTAATCTCAGACATGATGAGATCAAAGTAGCTCTTAAAGATGTCGTTAATTTAGCCTTTAAACACAGTAAGTGTCCGTATATTTCAATATATGAAAGTGGTTTTGCATGGGTCAAGAATCCACGTGAAAACACCTTCCGTTTTAACGTGGATACTCTTATTAATACTATTGATTTTATTTTAGATAATTCATATTTTAGCATGGGGAATATGACTTTTAGACAGATTATTGGTGTCCCTATTGGGGTAAACCCAGGACCCTTTATTGCTAATCTTACACTTTTTTATTATGAGTATAAATATTTAGATAAACTCTATAGGATTGATTATTATAGCGCTAAGAGACTTAATAACACGTTTAGGTTAATTGATGACATTACTACTATTAATTCTGATGGTGTCTTCCAGGAGCATGTAGCCAATATTTATTCTGATAGTTTAACTCTTAATAAGGAGAACACCGAGGACACTAGTGCTCATGTCCTAGATTTGAATATCTCTATAGTTGAAGGTTATTTTATTGTAGAAGTTTATGATAAACGGGACGATTTCCCTTTTAATATAGTCCAATATGCCCCTAAATGTAGTAATATGTCCAGAGATGTACTTATTGGAGTTTTTGGGTCGCAACTAGTCAGATTTTTTAGAATTTGTAATCAGTTTGAAGGTTTTAGGAAACGGGTTGAACTGATGTTAAACGCGTTTATTAAATTAGGTTTTAATAGGAAGCTGTTGAGTAACAAATTCCGACGAATAGCTGAAAAACATGGACTTCAGGAGAAGTTTGACATGATCAGTACACTTGACTACTTGTTTGAGAACCGATTACCCCGTCACCTCACTTCTAGCTCCTAGTTCTACATTGTGATGCATGACGTGTAGCGGTGTAGTACTGGAACTGGGAAGGTGACTGTGGTTGTTAGTTTACACTAGTTTTGTGTGCTGTGTTTTGTTGGAATCCCCTGCTGTCGTGTTTGAAGTTGTTCTTTTGTAATTATTATTATTTTTGTTTATCGTAGCTTTATGAACGTATAACTTTATGAACGTATGATTTTTGGTAATTAAATTATTAATATATTTTAGGAGAAAAGTGAGGGAAAGATGATAGTTTGGCCAGTAATACTTGTATAAGTCGCCAATGCACAATCTAAAGTTTGTGGACCTCAGTTAAGCCTTTCACTTGTTAATACTAGCAAAACTGCGCGTTTTGCTTTAGAAACACACTTTTTTATAGATTTTACCGGCGTATCCTCTAAATTCATCTAATTTGTCCAATTTTAGGGAGGGGCGCCAACAGGGGGGCGCTTTTTCAGCGGGGGGTGGGGGGGGGGGGGGCTAGATACAGGCGTCGGGCAAGGGGTAGTATAATACTATACATACACTGTACATGTACTATAGTATACTATACATATACTATTACTATACTATATACGGTAGTAAATAATCAATCCAGTTAAATGAGTGCCAGGAGAGTTATTAAGGATTTGGAATTGGGATATTGTGAAGCAAAAAGATAGGTTCTTGCCGCAGGATATTTGGGGGTCATGATATTGATTATCAGCTCGGGATTAATGTGGGACGGATCGAAGAGCATTGAAAAGAGCGAGTTGACATTGTACGCTTTCTGGTACTGTAATCAATCATGAAATTCTAATATCGTGTGGTTAACGTTTTTCAGTTTCAAACCTAACTCCCGTAATTCCTCATCTTGATTACTGAAATCTTACCGCCAACTACAAATATTGGTGATTTTAGTATTCTTGAAACGAAACATTCACGGAGTTTTAAAAAAAGCATTTTTGTCCACGTTTCATGCAATTTCTTCACTTTTGGCGAAAAATATATGATTCGAATTTTCGAAATTGTTAGGAGTAGGATTATGTTCGATATTATCACAAAGTTTAGGTATGTGACTTTGGTTTAGGTATGTGACACGGCCATTACTATTCACTTCTACAGCTACTGTATTTGATTACGATAGATAAGCAGGAAGTTTAATCCAGGATGCGGGAAATTTCTTCTGGATTTCTTGGAAATTGATTATAGGGACTGATTAGGAAGGATTATTATTAAGGATGTTAACTCCAACTACAAATATTGGTGATTTTATTATTCTTGAAACAAAAAATGTACGGATTTTTTTGAAAAATTTTTCTCCGTTTCATGCAAAACAAGAATCGCGCCCGTTGTTTCGTTTTGGAGAACGCTAGATTTCCATTCACTATAATTATAAGTATAAGCTCTAATCAGCTCACTTCATAACAATAATATCAAATATTGATAAATTATGTTTTAAAGTTTAAATACTTAACTTATATTTGTAATTCAAGAAATTGTAAGCAAAAGTAAACCATACTCTTGTTTTATACACATCAGTACACTACGCGTGCCACGTAAAAAATTGGTCTTATTACCTCATACTATACTGGTATACATTACATAGTATACATTAAAATACACTCGCGCCGCGCATTCATTGACCACAGGCTAGCTATAGATCACATCTCCGCAAGCAACGCTGCTATTTGTCATGGTAAGGGACGGAAGTAGCGACAAAATATTCGGACCTATACCTATTATACCACGATCTCCAAAATCCACGTCTAGTTTCTGCAAAAAACGACCATTCGTATAACGAAGTTTTTCTAAAAGCTACTTTTCTCCATGTTTTAAGCTATTTCGATTATTTTGAGCCAATGAAAAATTATAAATTTTTGCTAATTAGCTAATTGATAATTATCTAATTAACTGATTGCTTATAAAAAGAAACAGAAATACAACGATATCATAAATTATTATCGGTGTAAATTATCATTTTTAATTAGGAAATTAATTTTATTGTGCATTAGAGGATCTAGAAATACCTCAAATAAAACCGACATGGATGATTCAGAATTTAACTCTTTCGAATCGAAAGTCAACTAATTTTTTGGCAATGATGATATTCATAATATATACCGTAACCTGTAATACTATTCTGTATATTTGCACAAACAAGAAAAGTGGTTAAAGGTGGTAAAAAGTGGTTAAAGTGGCAAAAAGTGGCATTAAGACACGTGGAAAAGTTTTGAAAAAAAGTTGGTAAGCCATAGCCCTTAAAGGGCACTTAATGGGACTCAAAAACGTATAAAATCCTTTGGAAGCTTCTTGCGTCGGTACTCGGTAGATCGACTTTTCAGACGGATAAAATATCAGAAAGCTGTATTCACGAACGTGAAGGTAGTATGCAGGTATCTAATATGGATTTTAGTATGATTAATTTTACTACATGTAATGGATTATGTGAAGTACCTGTACGCGTGGGAGAGCATCTGGGCGTATATCTCAGTATCTCCACATCTCAACAACTCGTTAACAGCTTGATAGACAAACACGTATCTGGAAGAAAGGGATATAAATGGGGGTCCACAAAAAACAACTGGATGGGGGGGGGGGGGGGGGGGGGGGGGGGGGGGGGGGGGGTTTAAGGGGCTGTCTAAGAGCTTGATCAACACTGCTGAATTTAATAACATCTTAAGTAATTACAAACTGGACAGGCTCCATTACAACGAGGGACAGAACAAAACAACACTACAAGCGTAATTTATGAACAGTAATCCGACTCACTGGGATTCAGTCTGGACCATTATCTTCCTGCACTTCCTCAACTGCACCACAGTGTCGTATATGTTGATCTTGTTGTTGTTCTTCACGTTCTCCATCTGGAGGTGGAGGGAGATGATAGTCCCTGTCCTCCCCACACCCGCACTGCAGTGTACACATATGGGACCTGGGGGAGGGGTGGGTGTTAGTGTGGGTGTGTATTGTGTAACACCCTGTGTAACACCCTGTGTAACACCCTGTGTAACACTGTGTAACACTTTGTGTAACACTTTGTGTAACACTGTGTAACACTTTGTGTAACACTCTTACACTCTGTGTAACACTGTGTGTAACACCCTCTGTAACACACTGTGTAACACCCTGTGTAACACTCTTACACTCTGTGTGTGTTGTATATTAGTTTATTTGCAGTCGACACGCAAATACAGCTAACAGTACGGAACTGTAACTACTAGATTTCAATTAGGAACTCTCTTCTAAGTTCCCGAATACACACCACCACAACCAACATACCTTGTCCCTGGAGGTTGTCGGAGAAGGCCCGTTTAGCGAAGGCTATCATACTAGTGGGAGTATCAGGTACACCGTGGTCAGGCCATCCCTCGTAATGGTAGTGAGTTACTATCCGCGACTTACCTGAACCCTGGGGAGAAACAGTGTTAGCGGAATGTACCAGGTCCTTAGCTTTAAACAGCTGGTGTTAGCGGAATGTGCCGGGTCCTTAGTTTTAAAGACGTGGATCAGGGGATTTTACATGGGAGATTCGAAATTATTTCCATCATACTGAAAAGCGTTTGCAGGACTTACTGTCCTATGTAAACTGAAGTTGAAGTTGATGTCTTAATGTTAAAAAACCTGTGTGACGGAAAGTTTCCGGACTTTGTAGTCGGGGAAGGATACAATACCCAGACACTCCACGGTGGTGTTACCGTAACTCTGGGGTTTGGTGTCGCTCCAGTACTCTTCACACTTCTTACGACCCTTCTCCACTAGGTTTGTAACCTGAAAATTGCACATTTACACATTGCACATTTACCCATTTACACATTACACATTTACACATTTACACATTTACACATTTACACATTTACACATTTACACATTTACACATTTACACATTTACACATTGTACATGGCACATTTACACATTACACATTTACACATTGCTGATTGCACATTAAATGTGTTACCTCCTTATGTGCGATAGGTATATTTTAGTTCAGGTACATATTATTATTTAAGAATAGGATTAGATTGAAATTTAGAATAACTTTAATCTTTATGTAATCACGTTTTAATCCAAATGAAGTAATTGCTCAGTAGTGTTTATATAGTTTACATTTTGTTTGATGTAAATTATCACGAATCACCTTCACCTCAAATTGTACCGTTTAGATTCCACAATTTCAGCACCTCGAATCATAGACACTCCTAAGTTCCCAGCATTTAGTTTTATATCTGTCATTAATAACTGTAGACGCATTGCACTTCAACCAATAAGCTTCACTCAATTAATTAGCCATCCTATAAGGCCTATTTCATTTATCACGTGACACACCATCCCATTTATCCTTTTCCGCTTCAGTTCACCTTGTTGAAAGAGTTTGTCAGCATTCGTCTGCTCACTCCTAAACTCATTCCACTTTCATGTCACATGACCATTTCCTCACAAGCTTTAGATTCACGAGTCATGATATAGTTTTTGGAGATTAGTTCGGTGGTCTACCCTTTAATAAGTTTCTATATTTCATTCTCTTCCGTAAAACTCCATATTTAACGTCTTTTATTTTGTAAAACCTACCACTAAGTCGAGCAGCTAGGTACATCTAGTGTGCTACACTTATCAGCTTTAATTGCTAATAATATTTAGTTTGTGGGCCGATGGGTCTAACCCAACTGAGTTAAACAGTAGATGATAAGACAAGTTTACGTGTGTTCTCGGAGTAGTGTGAGTTATGGGTTGTGTTTGAGCTGAAAGTGGGGAATTCGCTGATTGTTCGACAATCAGACCAAAAGTATTAAAGAATAAAGAAGAATCATAATAATCTCAAACTATATAAAAAATAAGTATAAAGAATAAGGAAAAGGACCGGGAATGAAGCCAATACCAGAAGTGAAACCCCACCAAAGAATAATTGATCCTTAGGTAGACCTGGTGAAATAAAGTAACTGAACTGTAAGTATAAGAAAAGACGGAAGGAATAAAGGAGAGAGGAAATAATGTTATGCGAACATCATCAGCAGATGACTTGGCACACCGGTTTCGGGGGTTTAACACATGAATTTACTCTTCAGGAGTCTGTCATTATAACATCTTGAAAGAAGTGTCCTATAAAGGGTGTTGGTAGAACACAGAAAAGAATCAAGGTCAGAGATAATGGAAGAGTAACGAAGGACCTGACCGTAAAAAACATTATAACCAACAGAAGAGGAAATATTACTGTTAGGAAAGGTGTACATGACCACAGGAAAGTTGAAGTCATCAAGTTTGTTGTAAAGCATGGTGGCGACGTATAAGGAGTTATTCATCGAGATGTTGATGTCGAGATAGTTTACGGACTTATTGTCGTCACCACTCCTCTCCATAAGCAGGTCAGGTGGATAAATGGACCTGATTACGTTAGAGAAATGCAAATAGTTCATGGTGTTGAGGTCGTCGACATATCTGCAGTTTCTTGAGAGGATAAAGAAGGATAATTACTCCTTAATAAGAAACTCCCAAAACAATTTTATCCTCTCCCTGCAGACGAACAATAACGTCTTTAAATCACTAAACTCGACTTCCTTTAGTATTGATTTATTCTTTCATTTGGGAGATCTTTGTTTTCTAATTAACCTGTATTTTCTTATCGAGACAGAGCGGTATGCTTTATACGGAGGGAATGCTTTATTTAAAAAAATTGTTCCTTTTGTTCGAGTAGGAGTTGGATTTCCCAGCAGGTGATAGCGTGTGACTATTTTATAGTTTCCTTCCACACGTACGGGAGATGAGCTGCCAGTTTTACTCCTCAGTTCGAATAAAACTTGCTCATTTTATGTCTAGTATATTTATAGCAGTTTATAGATCTTTCTATGGAAGTGGTTTCCTTTTTGAAGATATTTAACGTCCTGTCTTTATACTTTTGAGGAAGTACCAGACAAAAAATTCTACATCATTATCATAAATCTTCAAAATACACTTCTAAAATAATATATTTCTCTTAATGTGTATTTTACGACCTGCTTGACAAGCCCATCACAAAATAAGGCTCATAATTGTGCCATATTTATCTAAGGATTAATTCCTAACAAATATGCACAACATAATTGTGGGTACGCAATGCAATGCTATTTTACACACCTGTGACCTAGGCCACTTTTTCAGGTTCAGAAATGCCAATAATCCCCAGTCCAAGTGTGATATTGGCGGGATTTCTCGCTCAAGTTGCTTTAACAAAGATACTGTTTGCAGTGAGATTTACAGATATCGGATATATAGATTATCTACATCCCGGGAATCTAGCGGGGATCTACTGGTTCCTGCTTATAGGGCTGGCTGTAGGAGCGGGAGTCTTAACAATCATGAAAAATAAAGAAAACAAAGTAAAGGACTTCCTGAGCGTATCTATTGGATCCTTAATTCTCAATCTTAGTAGCGTTTTTCTTGGTTGCACTACAATTATGTGGACGTTTGGGGGTTATGTCCTAAAGTACTACACATATTGCACGATCCCGGTTATGGCTTTGGCTTCTCTTCTCGTTACACTGCACATCCTAAAAGAGCCACAAGAATCCCCAGAGGATTGCAAGCTGCCTCGACCAGTAATAATTCTTCTAGGGGTGTGTGTTCACATTACTATTGGAAAGTGTATCTTCGCTGCTGGAGGATATAGTGGTGTTTGCGGAATCGCTTTCTGGATAGTGCTATTGTTGGTGTCAGTCGTCCTTACAATTTTCACCTTCGTAAAAACTCCCGAGCAATCCAGGTTACTTCGATCATTGTTTACATTTGGCGTCTCATTCGTCATCAACCTTAGTTCAGGAGTGGCGGGCAGCAGCAACTTTGGGACCATGTGTTCTTGGGCCTTTAATGGGGCATACGCTTATCTCACATTGCTCATTACCATAGGAGCTGCTGTGACTCTCGTGATTATGTTTCTGAAGAAGGATCAAACAGCTCAGGGTGTTGTTGTTGCTCAAGCAACTGTCCCTCAAGCATCGTATCCGCCGCCTCAAGCAACTGGTCCTCAAGCGTCTTACCTGCCGCCTCAAGCAACTGGCCCTCAAGCATCCTACCCGCCGCCACAAGTAACTGGCCCTCAAGCATCCTACACGCCGCCGCAAGCATCCTACCCGCCGCCTCAAGCAACTGGCCCTCAAGCATCCTACCCGCCGCCTCAAGCAACGGGCCCTCAAGCATCCTACCCGCCGCCTCAAGCAACTTACCCTCAAGCATCCTACCCACCGCCGCAAGCAACTTACCAAAAAGCATCCTACCCGCCACCAACATCTTACCCTCCTCCACAAGCATCCTACCCTCCTCCACAAGCATCCTACCCTCCTCCACAAGCATCCTACCCTCCTCAACAAGCATCCTACCCTCCTCAACAAGCATCCTACCCGCCACCAACATCCTACCCTCCTCCACCATCTTAACTACCACCAGTATCTAACCAGCCTACCTTCCGCCAGCATCCTACCCTCTGCAAGCTACCCACCCTCCTCCATCTTCTTACCCACCTCCGCAAGCTACCCACCATCCTCCACCTTCTTACCCACCTCCGCAAACTACCCACCCTCCTCCACCTTCTTACCCACCTCCGCAAGGTACCCACCCTCCTCCACCTTCTTACCCACCTCCGCAAGCTACACCCCCTCCACCTTCTTACCCACCTCCGCAAGCTATCCACCCTCCTCCACCTTCTTACCCACCTCCGCAAGCTACCTATCCTCCTCCACCTTCTTACCCACCTCCGCAAGGTACCCACCCTCCTCCACCTTCTTACCCACCTCCGCAAGCTACACCCCTCCACCTTCTTACCCACCTCCGCAAGCTATCCACCCTCCTCCACCTTCTTACCCACCTCCGCAAGCTACCCATCCTCCTCCCACCTTCTTACCCACCTCCGCAAGCTACCCACTTCCACCTTCTTACCCACCTCCACAAGCTACCCACCCTTCCACCTTCTTACCTACCTCCGCAAGCTACCCACCCCACCACCTTCTTACCCACCTCCGCAAGCTACCCACCCCACCACCTTCTTACCCACCTCCGCAAGCTATCCACCCTCCTCCACCTTCTCACCCACCTCCGCAAGCTACCCACCCTTCCACCTTCTTACCTACCTCCGCAAGCTACCCACCCCACCACCTTCTTACCCACCTCCGCAAGCTACCCACCCTCCTCCACCTTCTTACCCACCTCCAGGGTCCTACCTGCCTCGAGTACTCGACACAGACACACCAACCCCTTAACCTCCTGAATGTAATGAAGATTCTCCTCCTCAATTAAATACTGTATATTAACTATAATAGAACGAACTTCGACTCGACTAAGAGTATGTGGACTGGTAAAATAAGGCGTCGAAACTCAAAATGTAACTTTGTGTAGTGTGTACAATCGGATTCATGAATATTATAATAGAAACCATTGATTTCATTTTATACATTTATTTTAGCACAGGTGATATCATATTAAACCAATTTAATACTTTAGCATTATAACTTTAAATAGTTAAACACATTTTCTCTTAACGGTATTTGCTTTGATTTACTCTTAACGCTTATTCTTTTCGATATTTGGCATTTTAATTAAACGAACAATGTACATACTTATTACTTATTCTAAAGATTGCATTGTGGTTGGGGAATTTGATAGTTAGGCGCATTGTGGTTGGGGAATTTGATAGTTAGGCCAATAAAATTAGTTAAACTTTGAATTTCTTATCGTTGATGTACGATTTAAAGTCTATGAACCTTAATTAATACCTTTTTACTTGTTTGTAAATGAAAGTATTGTTAATTTCAGAAAACTGACTGAGTTAAACAGTAGATGATAAGACAAGTTTACGTGTGTTCTCGGAGTAGTTTGAATTATGGGTTGTGTTGTAGAGATCGAGTTCGCATGTGTATTTAGATTTTTAATTTTAGTTTCTTTAGTAATTTTAGTTTTTTTAGAATTCACGTAAAAGTTGTAAAGTTGAATATGGAGCTGTGCCAACTGATTCCAGACTGATTTCTTTAAATTACCTGATTCCATCTCCTGATTTTGGGACAAGAATTTGAATCTAAGACAATAAAATGATAAATCCCCTTTAATCTTAAATCATGAAAAAGTGTTAAATTCTTTGAGAGAACTCGAGTGATTCAAACTTTGATCAAATAAGCGGAATCATTTATTGAACAGCATGACACAGTACGATACCGAACGATTGACAAATAATTGACGAATGATTACGACCAAAGTAAGTAAGTAAAGCCCGGTTCTAAGAATAAAGATATATACTGATAACGATCAATTTTAAAGATAAAGGATTTTTAGGAGCTAGTTGTCCGATGATTTGAAAGTTGATTGATAGCCGCAGACGCGATGACAATGATATTGTATGCATGAATATCGAATTATTGTTGAGACAGGAATGCCCGAGGTTAGTACCAGA